TCAATTTTACACTTTAGGGATTCAGTTTTGTGTATATTCATCAGGGATATTGGTTTGTAGTTTTCTTGTGAGGTCTTTGTCTGGTTTGGGTATCAGAGAAATACTGGCCTCATAGAATGAGTTGGGATGTGTTCCCTCCTCTTCTATTTTTTAGAAGAGTTTGTGAATGATTGGTTATTCATTAATCTTCTTAAACATTCGGTAGAATTCTTTTAAAATTTCTTTTAATTTAGTTTTAACCATTTTAAAAATTCTTTTTAAACATTTAGAATTCACCAGTGATGTCATCTAGGTCTGGGCTTTGTGCAAAGGTTTGTTTTGTTTTTTATCACTAATGTAACCTCTTTACTTATTATAGAGTTATTCAGATTTTGTTTCCTTATAAGTTAACTTCAGTACTTTGTGTCTTTTTCTAAGCATTTGTCCATTTCATCTAGTTTATCTAAGTTGTTGGCATATAATTGTTCATAGTATTCCTTTATAACGCTTTTTATTTTTGTGGTTGATAGTGATGGCCCCTATCCTTCTTGATTTTAGTAATTTGAGTCTTCTCCCCCACTTGCACCTTCCTCTTGGGTCAATCTAGCTGAAGGTTTGTCGATTTTGGTCATCTTTTCAAATAACCAGCTTTTATTTGCTTCGTTTTCTCTTTTTATTTCACTCATTTCTGTTGTAATTTTTCTTTCTGCTTGCTTTGGGTTTAGTTTTCTTTTTCTAGTTTAAGTTGGAAGGCTAGGTTATGGATTTTAGATTTTTTAAAATATAGGAGTTTATACTTCCCTCCAAGTACTGCTTTCACTGGGCCTCAGGTTTTGTATGTTCCGTTTTCATTTTCACTCCTTGGAGTATTTTCTAGTTTCTTCAACTTCTTTGACCCATTGGTGGTTTAGCATGCTAACATTTGTTAGTGTGTTACTTAATTTCCACACATTTGTGAATTTCCCAAATTTCCTTCTGTTACCAATTTCTGATTTCACTTCATTGTGGTCAGAGAACATACTTTGTATAATTTTTTTGGTTCTTTTGAACTTAGATTTTATAGCCTAGTATATGGTCTATCCTGGAGCATCCTCCATTGCACTTGAGAATAATGCTCAAATTATTGAGTAAAATGTTCTATGGATGTCTCTTATGTCTAGTTGGTGTATAGTGTTGTTCAAGTCTTATATTTCTTTGTTGATATTCTACTTTTCTATCCATTACTGAAACTAGGTATTGGAGTCTCCCGGTATTGTTGAATTGTCTATTTCTTTCTTCAGTTTTATCACTTTTTGCTTCTTGTATTTGGGGCCTCTGTTTTGAGGTATACATGTTTACAATTGTTAGGTCTTTGTGATAGATTGGCCCTCATTATAAAAATATCCTTTGTCTCCGGTAACCATTTTTTTTCCTAAAATTTAAGTGATATTAGTATATGCACTGCAGCTCTCTTTCAGATATTGTTTGCATGGTATATTTTTTTCCATCCTTTTAATCTATTTGTGCATGTGAATCTAAAGTATGTATGTCTCACGGGGCACCTGGGGGGAGCATTTGGTTGAGCAGATCTGACTCTTGGTTTTGGCTGGGGTCGTGACAGTGAGCTCAGCACTGGGCTCTGGGCTCAGTGCTGAAGTCTGCTTAAGACTCTCTCTCTGCCTGCCCCCCCCCC